GGCGGCTTGGGTTCTTATTGCGTGCATGCATCTTGGATAAATACCAGCATCTGTAGCTTGGGCAATTGAATTTTTTTGTGTATCAATCTTAACGTTTATCTAAACCCGTTTCAAACTGTAGGCGCTGAAAAAGAACGTTTCACCGTACTGACTCAGATCTCACGAACTTAGATTCATCGACCAGGTCGCTTGGGTCGGCTAAAGCCCTGTCGGGCCGCAACCTTAGGATGCAAATCCTCCAAAACCGACTGCTCGGTAATCTCACTAGGCTCCTCAACCTCAAACTTCTTCTCAAGCTTAAGACCAGCCTCCCGCTCAGCGACCTCCAGAACGGACCGCTTCATCAGGGGGTACATCATTCGGAACTTGATGGGCTTGTTTCCGGGTGTCGACGGGCAGGTGTAGAAGAACAGAATGGGGCTCGACTCGGCGCCGTTGTGCGTGTGAGTGTAGCGGTAGAAGGTGAACCGCGGCTCAGTTGAGGAGATGGCCTGCGTCAGTTCTGCGATTCCGCTTGGAATGGGTGCCTCGGGGACAAGCTCCACCACCTCGGTATCGGGATTGATTTTCTATAGAGGGGTTAGTTTATGTGGAATCAGTTCATGGTTCAAGTACTTACCAGCATCGTCACGATTCGGCCTCCGTCCTGGCCAACTTCCTTCAGAGCAGCAACAGCGTCTTCGGAGATAGGCATAGCAAAGTTCTTGCTAAGATGAATCTCCTTGTGGCCTGTTCCTGATCCCGCCTCTTGTTCGGCACGCTTGACCTCGCCCAACTGCTGCTCCTCTTCGGTGAGCGGTGCATCCAGCTTATTATGCGCATCATGCTTCTCGAAGCCCTTCACGCTCAATTCCTCAGCTGTCGTAGCAAAGATAGTCTCTCTGAAATGCTCTGTTCCCAGCTCACGCACAAAAGTCAAGCGTGTTGAAGCGAATAGCATCTTTTGGCGCACCTTGGCCGAGTCGGGGACATAGGTGATGGCTAGGAATCGAGGGGCGGTGTCGTAGCGACGGAGGATAATGTAGAGAGCGGCATCAGGCTTAAGGTGAGGCTCGAGGTCAGAGAGGTTATCGGAGAATGAGCTTGACTTTGAGGGGATCGTAGCAACGGGAACCAGAGCCTCTTTCTCAATGGTTGCAAGGAGGCCAAAGGTATCGTTCGACGACAGCAACGAGTTGAACTGGTCCTGCAGCTCCTGAGAGGCTGCAATTGTCAGCAGGCATCCACCGCTAGAGTCTCTATAGTCTTACCTGATATTCCGGACTGCATCTTGCCTATCTCATGGGTTGTAGGTGTAGGTATCGATGTTGTCTTGGGTTGCTCCGTCGTCAGCTCTACCCCGCCACTTTCCCCTGCGTTGGCACTTGGAGCTCTAGTGGGGCCGCCATTCATGCATTGATTCCATTTACGTCAGATGTCTCAGTTTGCTTACCCTACATTCGTCAAATCTCTAAGACCTTCTTGAAGAGCAAGAAAATATCAGGCCTAAATAGAGGATATTAAAATAAACCTGATAAAGGGCATTCCAATCCTGGGCTAGATTTATACTAAATTATCTAAATCGTATTATTCCTTAGGACTAAAGTTCTGAGGTTTTATCCTCCCCTAAGACGGCTGTTGTCCTATAAAATATTTGAATCCGAGGAGTCTGACTATATGAGATTCATAAATGAAAGGCTCTATTCAAAATGAGATCTGGCGGACGTTCAACTCCAGCACCTGCAATCACAGGTCAGGGGAAAAGCACCATTACACGATTAAGTTGACTGCCACAGTAAAATCGGCATTGAACAAATGATCTAAACAGCCTTAGAAGCCGTGTATTCTTTTCTCCTCCCATTAAGATATTGTACACTGTTGACCTAGACGGCCTCAAGATTGCTTGATATCAACCACAATACCATCCAGCTACCTAGACATTGTTTCCCTTTGGTGCTTCCAAGAGCATTTGAATGCAAAGTCGGATTGTTATCCCTCATCACTAAATAGCCATGATAACCATGAACAGGAGACCGCCAAATGTGGGCAGCATCGAGATCTCAAAACATCTCGACCCTGACACATCCACCTGGCTTGGCCACACGGTGGGAAGAGGGCCCGTCTCTGTCACCAAGGTCTCACTTGTGGAAGGCTCTGTTTGAGACTTGGGTGGAATTCCAGGCATTTCCCGCGTAGAGTCTGGGGCACTCGCTGCTGGGGCCAATGGGGATACAGTCGAAGGCAGCGTGAGAGTAGACGGGAAGTTGATGGTCGACTGTGGAGGTGACTGCTCAGGCTGATCGGGCGAGGTAACGGGAGGATCAGATGGAATGGAAGTCGACGATGGGGGGGTAACTGATGTCCCAGGGGGTTGCTGAACAGCCTCGCTCTGAGGAACGGGGACGCCTGGCAGAGGAGACGATGTAGCCACGGGGAGTGCGTCAGACGCAAATGAAGCCTGTGGAGCCATGGAGGCGGGGACAGCATTGATAGACATAGGCTGGTTCAACGGGTTTTCTAGCTGAGGCACAGGTTCGGAAGCCTGAAGCTCGGCCGGTTCGATGATGAACAAGTTCGAGATGCTGGGAGTACCTTCGGGGCAGATTCCACCACACATGGGAGAGTTGGGGTCTTGAGTACACGGGTAGTTGCAGGAGTGTTCGTCGACCGACTTGATGGCGTTGGCATCATCTCCGCAACGGCAAGCACTGAAAATGTTAGTCTTCGTTTGATGATCGTGTAATAACTTACTCAGGAGACACCGCAGCAAACATGTGGCCAGCGCAAGCGTCTTGGCATGCTCCAGGAGTCAAGATCCCGTTGGGAAGGGGAACTGGGTTGCTGAAGCCCGCAGCGTCAACAGTGGCACAGCCCCAGTACTTAAACTGCTCTCCATAAGATGTTTGGCCAAGGGCAGCCGTGACGCTAAAGGCAGCGATCAATAGATGAGAAAACATGATGAGATGAAGTAGAGCACGGAAATGGATGTGAAGAGCAAACGAGAGGAGTTTCGCGGTTCAGGTTTATGGTGGGGGATATTGACAAGAAGATGGAAAGAGAAAAGTAATGGAGGAGGAACAAGAAGTATGAGAAGAAGGAGAAGAATTTGAAGTGAGGAAGGAGGTTGAGGGCGTGGTTTGCGCGTGGTTCGGGAAGGAGGTTCAGATTTCTTCTGACGAGGGTAGGAGCTGTGCCCGCGCCTACCTACCTACCTTACTATCGCAGTAATTTTGAACACAGTCCGAAAACGCCGAAGGCCTTTTGCCTCATGATACTGAACACCAACCTAATAACTATCATCCTCCGGGCTTTCACGCCCCAATGTGCCCAGACTACTGACTGAATGTGATGAATCTCGCCGAGTCGCCCCGATGACTCTCTAATTTCCTGTCGGGGCAGGCGCTGCTGATGTCAAAGCAGCTTCTCCTTGAGGTTCCCACGTGCCGCCATTCTTTTCCGCAAGCTCTCGCATCGCATTCGCGTCAATCTTGTTGAAGAGGGTAGTGATTTCACCAATATCACGGTCAATTTGCTCCTCCTTCTCTTTGCGATGTTCATCAGCTCTGTCGACAGGTCCAAATACCCAGAGCTCTTTGATTGTACGAGTCAGAGCAAGTAGTTCCTTGATGCTCTCGTACTGTTCGATGTCAGTGACGGTGCTCCGATTGTGCTCTGTAAACTTACGAGCTCGTCAAACTTTCTTTGTGTTCTTAGGCCGGCGGCTGCCATTGTATCGGGATCTCTGTAGTTCAGTTTATTCGCCTGGGCTTCGTAGTCGCCTTGCTTCTCCTTGTCCATGCCATTTACAGTGACACAATTCATCAAATCGCGGTAGGACCTGAGGATCTCGGAGATGATCTTTTGATGCTTGTCTGATGATGTTAACAATGTGATAATATTCGGTCAGGAAGATCTTACCCATCAGATTGGTGGGACTTGATGTATCCATCTTGAAATGTTGACTATTTATAGTATTGTGGTTTGGGATTATTATGGACCTGCCAAGTTTCGATGAATAATTGTAAGTGTGATGTTTGTGAGGCTGTGAATATGTTGTAAAGGTGAGCTTTGATATGGTAGGAGCTTCTGGTTGAGCTTGAAAGAAGTGGGGGTGGGGCTCCAATTCCGAGTGGAGGTGGGGGACCGTAATCCTAGATGACAAAAATGCTCAGGTAACGTAACATAAGTTTAGGATACCTTTTACTGATTTATTTTAGTAGACTCAAGGTTCTAGGTTTCTTGCTCTCTGAGGTTTCTTTACTAGACAACAAAAGGTTCAGACCAGGAAACAGGACTATGATCTATGGATAGTATTCATATGATACTCGTTCAAGATAGCATAGATTCTATCAAATGGTGTAAACAAATTGATTCCGTATTTATGTTTAGCCCTAGATCTCTGAATTTATAATACAGCATCCCTTTAGAATGTGACAGTATGTTAGTGAACTCTAAATTACATGAACTTTCACAAATACCGTGTCCTCAGGGGCAAGTAACTTTTACTTTCTCTCCCCAAAATGTCAAGAAAACAACAGACCTTGAAATATGTTAGAATAAACTCAGCAAAAGTATCCTAGCTTTACCCATACTAAGTTACCTAAGTCTATAGGATCAGGGGGCCGAGTTTTCTTTCCTCCCCTAGGTACCTAAAGTTCGTAGACACAGTAGGCCTCGAAATTAATCATTTACATTGTCTCGGATGAGCTTACGGATAGAGCTTCTTGCCTTCCCTAGCATGTGTATCATTTGAATGGTCTTTTTAATTATTCCGTGATGATGTTACAGAAACTCTACTTGGTGCAGACATAACAGATTGCCCAACCCAATCCTAGACGCCCATCCCATAACCAATAATTCCAGAAACCCAGAAGTAAGGAATACTTGCGCTTCCCTTTCGTCGAAACACTTCCCATGAAAGGCCCCAAATTAAACATGCAGTGCAGACTTTCGAGAAAACCCCCATCATTCGTAAATTCCCAATAGGCGATGCGAGCTCATTATCCTTGTCCCTCCTTTATTTATGGTTGTCCTTTCCATCCACGGTTCTCTCCCTTCCATCCGAGCTGGGGCCAACCCTTAGGGAGGGTTGAGAAGGGAGGGAGTGTGTATTGGCCCTCACACTTATCTGCCTCGCACTTGAGATCACACATGCCATAGTTCTGGCAATAACAATCGGCGGCGTTTGGACAATTGACTGCGGGCTTGCCAAAGATGACTATGAAAAGTTAGTTTATTAGTGAGTAACTTTGTGTGGGCATTGAACGTACTGTGCCATGAGTATTCAAGAACTCTGCCACTGAGGTCATCTCCCAAAGCAGACACAATCAGCCACTCACGAAATCGTACATATTCGGCACGAGGACGCAAGTGAATGGTCTCACGGCGAACAGCAAATTGTGAGCAGCATGTGACGCCGACCTCCTCAGGAATCTCAAGACTGGGGAATAGCTCCTGGAAAGCGGCCTTATAAACATGGCGGGCGTGAATAGGTTCGCCCTCCTTCGCGGGAGCCTCGTCCTTGATGGGTCGAATCTCAGCAGGGCAACCAAGGACCCAGACACATCGCAAATTGGCATAGCCGACCTTCTTTAAATTATCGAAACGGAAGTTCTGGAGAAGAGGGAGAGCATCGTAATCGGGGTTGTCATTGTGCCATTGGAAGCGCTCGGCGTGGTGGAAGACGACGTTGCCGGGCAGGGAGTCGTATCGATCAATGATGTAGCTGCAGGCAGAAATGTCAGTACCAGGAATACAGAATTGGGAACAAAAAGACATACGTCAGGAAGACCATGGCCTCGCGACCCTTGTTCATAGGCACAGTCAACTTGGCCTTGTTGTCGTCGACCACGTAAATGTTCTTCTTCCATTCAGGGAGATATTCATCAAGCCACGAAACATTTTCATGCTTCATACTTGCGACCACCATCTCGACGTCGTTGTCGCCCAGGGCCATATGAGAGTAGTCATTTCTATGTTTTCGCGCCGGCGTGTTCGAGGGTAAAAAGGTGTCGCGGAAGAAGTAGATAAATACGACGAAGAAGACAAATGCGCCGACAGTGTTGGCGCGATTCGTGCGCTGTCGAGGACTCCAATGACCAGCCATGATGAAACAATGGCGGTCGAGATGGGCGCGCGGAAAAGGTAGAATTCGAAAAGGCAATGAGTGTTTTGAGCGGCGACGGGGGATAAATGAGAGTCGAAAGGGTCGGAGTTTGAAGCAAGGGTTGACGATACTCGAGGTTTGGTGGTCAGGCACTTTGTTCTTAGGGGGTCTTGAGGATTATCCCTTGAACTGGGATAGGGTGACGGGGAGCTCGCCCTTGAATGGAATGGCTTTGGGGCTGTCAAGAGCCAGACCCTTCAAAGCCGCAGTGGCTTGGCCGCATCTGGTGGATCGTCTTCATTGGATCCCCTGTGTTAGTGCGTAGAGCGAGCCACTGGCTTCTTCATCATTGGAGATCAGGGACTATTTCTCGTCATCTGCATCATTGACGTGGTTTGGAATGAAGTGAGTGTTGATCATGATACACATTCAGTGATTACACTCGTAACGGCCAGAGAAGAAAGTTTACCTTTCAGGTGTGACGGGTAGCAAACCGATCAAGCTTATCACCACAGGCGCTCAAAGATTGGATCACCACGAAGCTTCCAAGCCACCATACCAAGCTCAATACCTCTCAATATGATAAGCTTCGGCAATTGCTGCTTTGAGCCATAAGAAAGATCGCGCATGTTTGATAGTCCAGATTAAAAAATCATGGTGCGCCCCTAGGGTAAGCTTGAATGCGTGTCCTTACAGCTGCTGGAAACCAATTTATTCAGCCAGAGTCTCTGTGTTCTCTGCTTGGGCTGCCACTCAGCCCTACGATCGTGATCACCAACTTCTGGTTAGTCTCCCAAGCGCATGGAGCTCGGCGATCTCGCAACCTCAAACGGGACCTCAGGTTGAGCACTCAGAGCGCCTCTGCTGGGCTACACATCGAGAGGAATAAAAGACCACCCTGCAAACTCGCAACGGAGTCAAACCACCAACAAGGCCGCTCGCATATCTCAGTAGGCGAGGCAGAAAGCAGTGACACAATGAATCACGAAGCACAACCCCTTCTGATGGTACGGGCCCCATTGGGCTTTATGGACACAAAGCCTTGCAAAAGGAGTATCTCAAACTGGGGGTTGAAGTGCAATGTCCTTGTTCCAGAACTCCATCACCTGTTCGCCTATGATTATAGGTTAAGCTGGCAGCGTGATGGCCCCCAGAGCTCATGTAAACTATTCGAACCGGCTGCATATAGGGCTTTATCTTAGTAAGACGGATTCTGCTCCTACAACCCAGCTGCCAGCTTCGAGTGCTCATGCTGCTGAACCCAAATCCTCAGGGCGCCGCTCGATTGATACTTACCTTACAGACACTGATTCCGCCCCCATTTGATCCCACGAAATCCACATAGAATGATCACCTGAAGGAAACAACAGTCATGGCCTTCGGATACCATATCCTGTGGCTTCACCCCCTTGCTTGGCGTCTTGAAGGAACAGTAGAGATTATCGCAGTCGAATGAAAGAGCTGTGCCGATGAAAATAGCTAGAGATAGACGAATAAGTATAATAATTGAGTGCCTTGAGCATACCCGAAGCAATGGAACGAATGTCCATGAAATACAGAGTACGGGTGCCGGCAGCATTGACAATAGACAAGTCCTCGCCTGGGCCTGGGTACGAGTGACCCAGTCTGATCCTTCAAGCTCAAAGCATCTTTACGCAGCCGAAGTGACCAAATTGAGGCTTAGAGGATAGTGCCTGGTTCATCTCCGCGTTTCTCAGGCCTCGGCTACATGTGCAGCAATTTATACAATATTCTGTAAATGAGAAAAATATCATCGTATCCCGGGGCTCTGCCGATTCGCAGCTTTCCAAAAGTCCAATCTCCTGCAACCTCATCCTGTCTCAGCTAGTGCTTATTACGAAGCTGCACCGTCGACCAATCCGAGATCCATGTAATTCTCCGCACCATCGCCAGACTAATTTGCCCTAATGTGGAAGGGAAGGGTTTGAGGCTGATGATGAAACGACAACACCAGTCTCATGTTTTTAGTTAGGGAACTCAAGCGACGGTGAATGGTAACGGATCTGGGGAAGAAACTTTGTAGCACAGAAGGGAACTTCAGGTGAGGTTTGGAAACATTCGTTTTTCCTCATGGAAGTCAATTGCAGGCGACAGGGCACGGTACGGGGTTCAAGAAAGTCCGAGTTCGCGATCGTCTCCTATTTCGCGAGATCAATATCGCCAAGGTATTCAGGATTCGTGTATCGAATGAAAGCCCTGGGTATGACCCATACCGGCATGCAGTAAGACCAAGCATGAAAATAAAATTTATGTCCTGTGTTGAACAGAATAATGATCCTAATTTGCCCATTTTCAAGGTGATCCTTCGCGGAAAATACGGAGCACGCATTATTCTTGATATGAATCACGGCAGGCTTCAACTTTTAGTGACACTTCAGCTCGCTGCTGACCGCATATTGATGAGGCGTGAACCCTACTGAACCGCTGCCCATGTCACAATCCTTGCTTGACAACACGGGGGCTAAAACGTGGGTCCTCTCTGTTCCCTTTCTCGACGTCGCCTCACATCGGATTGACTTGATGAGGTGAACAGCCATGCATCCGCATATCAATGGCTGCAGAATGGCGACCTGCAGTGGCAATGAACTCGAAAGTTAAAACCCAAAAGGAACAATCACGCGGAAGAGGCTTTTCTTGTGCACTGCAGCCAAGGATTAGGTGCAGATGCCTGTGGACATGAATAGGCGAACAATCTTACTTGCATCGACGCGAATTACTAAAAAGCCAAGTCACAGAAGAGAGACTTGGCTTCTGGGGAGACGAGAATAAGCTACAATATTGATCAACAGATGGACTCGCCAGAACAAGATCAGAGAAAAAGCTTGGTATTCTAGTGCAACGCGTATCCCGCAGTGGAGACTGGAGATTTTTCCAAGAAATTGCTCCGCAAGGATTTGAGGGCTGTGCTGGACTGTGAAGAACACTGTGTGTGAAGGTTGTCGAAATAGTGAAGCGAGGGTTGATCAAACAAAGAAAGGATTGCCATATGATCGGAATTATGAGTGATTATGTGCTGGCAATAAAGATCCCTCTTCTATTCGATGAAAGGGAGACAAAGGCTATGCGGCAACAGTTGAAGATTCAAGACCAATGAGGTGACGAATCTCGTATAAATTTAGATGATTCAGCGGAGCCAGTAGAAGTTTAGTTACGAGCCTAATTCTACCGCCGTCTCCCTAGTCCGAGAAAGGAGAACGACAGAAGACCGTGAATGTCTCTTGTCGAATGTTGCTCATTGGATCCATTTGTTCTTTGACGTCCGATTGGGGGCTGTGCAGCCTATTTTTTCTTCTCGCTCACAGATGCCCAATTTGTTTGGGCAAGGGAGCAAGGCTTTGTTACTCATAGTGGAAGCTTGACCACGTCACGGACCTCCTTTGGTAATAACGGCCAATTGAGAACGAGGCGAGAGTCATTACACTGACATATTCCTTGAATGTCCTGACTTTTAGGCGCCCCCTGGCTCAACTAAACGCGGGAATACAGAGACGTCGACAGACAGCGCGGTTCAGTGGACGGTTTTTGCTGGACATACGGAAGTGCGAATAAGGCGTCAGGGCTCCAATTAGGTTTCGGCCCCCTGAAACTCGCATGCCATCCCGTTCATCATGATCGATCAGTGTCTCGCCATCCCCTAGAACTTTCGATCGTCTCTTGTATTGCCCATTACATAATGCATCGTGACTTGTGCAGTGTCACACACCTGCATCTCTGCTGTCTCAGAACCAGACATGGCGTTTGAGTTTCTCCAAACAGAGAGCAAGGAGGTCGCTGTTTCTGATGATCACAACACGCAAGTGAGGCTTTATGACGAATCGTATTCACTCGTGGAGAATGTTTTGCTTAAACTTGTTTACCCTGTCTTTTGCCGCCGCCCACAAGACGAAGAAGAAAAACCAACAGAGGAGAGGGTAGCGTGCATTAGAGGGGGCGAGCTGCGTTTCAAAATTCTAGTCGTGCGTTTGTCTTGATGGCCTCGACCAGGTAGCGCTGACTGCTCCCTCCTCCTTGGGATGGAGACCGTTATAACTGGAGTCCGGGTACGACAACAGCACAGTATGAAAAATTCTCTCCGCTAGAAAGGACTTACACATGGAGGGCTCTTTTTAGTGCTTTCGCCCAGGCGGGCCCTGCCGCTGAGACCACAAAATTTGGAAGCGGCAGCGCCGGTGTGGTGGCCACGAGCCAATAGGGGAACGAAACGCCAGGACGTTACAGGGGGCTTCTCTCTGGGACCCTGGCTTGCAAGCGTTCCTGAGTGGCGGCGGCATTGAGACCACCTCCACTTAGCCTTAGCCATTAGCTCCTAGGTTGTTTGCTGTCGTCCTTGTCCTCCTGGGAATGGGATGCTCTCCCGATGGAGATGGATGAGCTTTAATCCCCATATCAGGCCAGGAGCATCCTGTCCACTTTCTTCCCTTCCTCTTTCGTGATTCATTAATACCCAGGCCCCTCCCCCGTGCGTGCATCTCCTTCGTCTGGTCTCTTGCTATTCTCACTCTCGTTTGTGATACACTGATTCCCACTGCTCTTGGCTTTTCCTTTGAGCATCCTCTCTCTATTTCCTCTCTCATCTTTCTGATCGAACTGAATTTCCTTTTACCCTTGCACGCCTGCTGGCAGGATCCCATCTCTCTCATCTCTTGAATACATCGACATCGAACGCGATAATCGGCATCATGGGCGATAGCTATTCTGCTACTTCTGGCCATACAGCCACCACGGCCGTCAACAGACCAACAATTGACACCAACACTGAGACCCAGGAGAAGCCGCAGTCCCCTAACAATGATCCTACGCGTCTTCGGAGCCTCGACACTTCCGATCAGAAGCGCCTGCACAGTCTCGAAATCCCCCTCGACAATGTTCGCTCTCCCCCTTCTCCCGCCGTAGGCGTCAACCCGGCTCTTTTCCGCAAGCAGACCTCCCTCGACATTGATGACTATTTCACGGGTCCTCGTGATATTCAGAAGCACTCGAAATGGCCTCTCGTCTTGCAGATGCACGGCTCTATCATGCCCAAGTTGATTATCCCTCTGGTCGCTATTGGCGCCTGGTCGACCGCCATTACCCTCATCCACAAGAAGGTCCACGATATTCATGTCGACTCGGTTCTGCTTACCATTCTGGGTTTCGTCGTCGGTCTTAGTCTGTCGTTCCGATCCTCGACTGCGTACGAGCGTTACGCAGAAGGTCGCCGGTACTGGGGTATGCTCACCATGGCTTCTCAGACACTGGGCCGTATCTTCTGGATTCACGCCAAGGATGTCGCAGACCAAGACCCCCGTGAGACTATCCTCAAGAAGATTGGCGCGATGAACCTTATTGTTGCTTTCTCAGTTTCTCTCAAGCATGCCCTTCGATTTGAGCCCTATAGTGCCTACCCCGATCTGGAACATCTCATCGGCCATCTCAACACCTTTGCTAAGGATGCTACTGTCGCTGATCCTGATGGTCCTGCTATCAAGAAGAAGAACATGTTCAAGTCTGTTGGAGAGTACCTTGGTGTGTCGTTTGCTCAGAGCAACCCCCGTAAGGCTCTTAAGAAGACCGACAAGCCTCTTGGCAACCTCCCCCTCGAGATTCTCAACCATCTTGCCATCACCATTGATCGAATGGTAGCTCAGGAGCAACTCCCTGTCCCAATGCAGCAGACTCTTGCTTACAACCACCTCACCATGATGAACGATTGCATGACTGGCTGTGACCGTGTTCTCAACACTCCTCTCCCCATTGCTTACACCATTGCTATCAGCCAGATCACCTTTGTCTACGTCTTTGTCCTTCCCTTCCAGCTTGTCGATAAGCTCGATTATATCACGATTCCGGCTTCTGTTGTTGCCGCTTATATCATTTTCGGACTTCTTTTCATTGGCCAAGAAATCGAGAACCCCTTTGGACACGACGTCAACGATCTCCCTCTTGAGATCTATTGCGATCAGATTGCGGCTGATATGGATATTATTGCGTCTCATGATAAGCGCGAGCCGGATGCATTCCTCCTCAGCCACAACAGCATGCCTCTCTACCCTGTCAGCACTGCCTCTTCCAATGCCTGGATGAAGCGAAGTGACGAGAAGCTTCGCCAGACCATTAGGGACAAGCCAAACACCATGTTTGAGTGGCGTAAGGAGATCGCCCGCAAGAAGTTGAACGGTGGCAAGTTTGGCACCAACGACATGAAGATGAACCCTGGCGACCACAACGTCTAGATCTTTCCTTGTTATACCCCTCTAATGCATGTTGTATGGACTTCTCAAGGGAGTTGTCTCACAACTACGGCGCATCAAAATAAGCTATGTCTAGTTTCGGTTCTTTATTAATTTGGTTGGTTTGCTCTGAAGGACCTCAGAGGGGTTACTTCATGTAAAGTGTGAAAAGGTTCGGCAAATATCACCTGGTGTTTTAAATGGTCAGCAATAGCGTTTTAGTCTGTTCAATCTTCAATACAAATTGATCCAAGAATTGGTTCCTTTCTAAGAGCATTTGTTTAGCTATGACTCTAATGAAAGTCGCATGAAGTTGAATCCAATCATTCATTATCTTATCGTGGCCTGACATGGATGGAGGGGTAAAATCGGAGCGGAATTTCAGGGCAACCGTGCCCCGCGATTTCAAGCTCTGCGTCCGTCCCCGGCGAATGATGACTCGCAGGAAAGATGTGAAAGAGTCAAAGCCTTTTTTTTGTTAACCCTTGAGCCCACTTGACTCACACTCACTCGCTCGGAATTGCCATTGATGCTCGCGCGGCGCTTTACCTCCTCCACCTTTTTCTCTTCTTCTACTTCTTGTTATCTTGTAACATCCTCTTTGCCATTGCGACAAGCTTTTGTCCAGACTCGTACCTTTTCTCTACTCTCGACTCGTCAGTCCCCGCGACAACAGACATTGCATCGCGACTATAAGTACCCCTCCTCCTTCAAACGTATACGCACCATGGCGACAGACGCCAACGCTCTCGCCGACCAGCTCCAGCAGCTTGGTCTCGACAACATCGAAACTTCTTTCCCTGGATGTCACCCTGATACCAACCCAGTCGATATCTACCGTTCACACATCACAAGCCTTTTGGCGCCTATTACTGGTGTTGATCCTAAGATTATCTACCCCGCCATCCAGTGGACTCAGACTCTCGACAAGGGAGATGCTATTCTTGCTGTTCCTGCCCTCCGAGTGAAGGGCAAGAAGCCTCAAGAGCTTGCTGAGGAATGGGTTGCTCAGGTGAGTCGCATAAAATAGCAATTGCTGAAATATAGCTAACATGATCAAGTTCCCCGAGTCTCCTCTTATTGAGAAGCCTACCGCTGCTGGTCCCTTTATCTCCTTCTTCTTCAAGCCCAATAAGCTTATCAGCATGCTCCTCCCTACGATTCGAAAGCGCGCCGACAACTATGGCAAGAACCCTTACAACGGCCTCCGAGACCCCAGCGACCCCAACTCTGGCAGGAAGCGAATGATTGTCGAGTTCTCCTCGCCCAACATTGCCAAGCCTTTCCACGCTGGCCATCTCCGAAGTACCATCATTGGTGGTTTCCTCGCTTCTTTGTACGAGAGTGCTGGATGGGAGGTAACCCGAATGAACTACCTCGGTGACTGGGGTAAGCAGTATGGTCTGTTGGCTTTGGCCTGGGAGAAGTGGGGTGATGAGGAAGCCCTCAAGGCCGATCCTATTAACCACCTCTTCAACCTCTACGTCCGAATTAACCAGGATATGTCCGCCGAGAAGGAGGAGATTGCGGCCAAGAAGGCTGCTGGTGAGGACATCACTGCGCTTGAGGAGAAGTCCCTGGACGAGCAAGCCCGAAAGTACTTCCGACGAATGACAGACGGCGACAAGGAGGCCGTCGACCTCTGGCGACGATTCCGAGATCTCAGCATTACTCGATACAAGAAGACCTATGCCCGACTCAACATTGAGTACGACGAATACTCAGGAGAGTCTCAGGTCCCCGAGGAGGACATGGAAAAAGCCGCCAAGGTCCTCTCTGAGAAGGGCCTGACCGAGGACGCTAATGGTGCTATCCTCATTGACTTCTCCAAGCACGTCCCTGGCAAGCCTGGCAAGAGTCTGGAGAAGGTCATTCTCCGAAAGAAGGATGGCACTGCTCTGTACCTCACCCGAGATATCAGCGAGCTTCTCAACCGACAAGAAAAGTACAACTTTGACCACATGATCTACGTTGTCGCTTCTCAACAGGATCTCCACTTGAAGCAACTCTTCAAGACCATTGAGCTTATGGGCCACGAGGATATTGCTAAGAAGTGTCAGCACATCAACTTCGGTATGGTTCTTGGTATGAGCACCCGAAAGGGTACTGTCAAGTTCCTTGACGATATTCTCCGTGATGTCGCCGACAAGATGCATGAGGTCATGAAGAAGAACGAAACCAAGTACTCCCAGGTCGAGAACCCCGAGGCTGTTGCCGATATCCTTGGTATCAGCAGTGTCATGGTCCAAGACATGTCTGGAAAGCGGTATGTATCCGAAACTCATTGAAAAGCGTGTTACTAACGACACTAGAATCAACAACTACAAGTTCGACATGGACGTCATGACCTCTTTCGAGGGTGACACTGGCCCTTACCTCCAGTATGCTCATGCTCGTCTGTGCTCTATCCGCCGACGAGTTGGCCTTTCCGACGATGAGCTGGCCACTGCCAACTACGATCTTCTAACCGAGAAGCACGCTACCGACCTCGTCCGACTTCTTAGCCAGTGGCCCGACGTTGTCCAGAACACTCTCAAGACCCTTGAGCCCACCACCATCTTGACATACTTGTTCAAGATGACACACGTTCTCAGCTCCAGCTACGATCACCTCCGAATTGTCGGCAGCGAGGCTGAGCTTCAGAAGGCTCGTATGGCTCTGTACGATGCTGCCCGAATTGTCCTCCACAATGGCATGAGTCTGCTTGGTCTTACACCTGTTGAACGGTATGTTCCCCAAAGATGCCGACTTATGAGCAATTGCTGATGATATACAGAATGTAAGCTACGAGTTTGAACGAGAATTTGTAAAAGAAATGGGACATGGAATTAAAGAGGGGCATGGAATGATGGGCGTCGAGTCTTATCTCGACTAATGGCGCATTAGACGAGACTATGAAAAGTTTTAATATACCCATTGAACTTACCTTCGTGGTAGTTCCAAAACTCATTGTTCAAATCGCCCAGTTCGACTTGAAGCGAGGGTTTCTCTGGCATCCGCCACTGGCCATCCTGAAGTGATAGACCAAAGCCCTCAACTCTACGATCCAAGATAGCAGATGCATATCGCTGAGTCATGAACTCTTCCGTATTGACGAGTCGGTTAAATGATAGATTCGTCAGCCTGAGTCACATAATCAGTCACCTCAACGAGCCTGTGTGATACATAACTATCGAAATCGGCCAATGCATGTGACGCAAATACAGAATTCAAATCACCATCGAATGGCAGCAGCCTTGATGATGAATGATATTTTTACGTCTTTTCCTGTAGCTGAGATTTCCGGTCGTGATTCCCATGCATTGTTCCTCTGTTTCTCTATTATACAGCAGCTTGTCGATTTAGGGCTCAATTGATCCATTTAGCACTGAGCCACATCAAAATCTGAATCTTGTGCAATTGCAGATCGTTATGTCTTCCCATTCGTGACGTTCCTGAGCTCTAGCAATCTTCATAGTCGTACAATCATCCCATCTTGGCTCCCCACCAGTTTTCGCCCTCGTATACATAAAGATATGGTTGTTCTATAACCCTATCGCCCTTAAGAAGAAGGGACCTTGGTCCTGATCTGAACGCCGTGCCACCCCTTGACAAGATCACCAAGAGCAGCATTCACCATGCGCTGCTGCTTAAGAATCGTCTGGCCCTTGAAAGCAGGGGATGTGATATCGATGGCGTACATGCTGCCACAACCACCAGAGACATCTTGGACAAGTAGTTCGGTGGGCTGGAGCTTATCGGAGAGTATTTCGGCGATGGCAGATTCAGCGGGGCTCATGGAAGGTAGATCGGGCTCTTCCTCGACGGCAGCAGAGAATCGAGTCGCAGAGGTCGAGAGAAGTCTTCGGGGTGTTGATGTAGGTATTTGTGTTGTAACGCGGGTAATGGCCGTGGGAGCGCGGACGAGGGTGCGCAGGGGAAGACGAGCAGAGCGCATTGCTGCGCGGCGGCAGGTATTGCAGATCATTGTGATTGGGTGTAATTGAATCAATTGGCTTTTGCTGGAAGAGAGGTGAAGGAAGTTAATGACGATGGTGGAGTTTGAGTCTGGGCCGAAGTTGAGATTACCTAATTGGGATACATGGAGAGGGAAAAATGTGGAGGGTTTGTAATCGAGCGATCACGGTTTGCGGGCGTGGGTCAAAATGGAGTGAATGCTTCAATTGATCTACACTCATTCATACAGTTCAGTGGTACTAATTTATCTCTCTGAGAGGCCCGTCACTGAATGATTGAGTGCGGAAGAGTCATTACCGAGTTCGTATTAGATAGACACAAGCCTAAGCCTGGTGGGACCGGAAAACAAACTATTGCTGCTGTACGACGCCTTTCCAGACAATCTTTTTTCCAACCAATTCGACTCATTCCCCAGCGCATTTTATCCAATACCCCAGTCCATCATCTCACCTGAACCCGTCTCATCTCAGCCGGAGAATTCACCAAACCCATCATGCCACGCAAGGTACGATATTTCCCCCTTACTCCCGTATATCCGTCAAAATAAAATACTAAGCCCAACTAGACTCGAACCCCCGAGTCTCTCGCTCTCAATCGCGAGAACCAGCGTCGCTCTCGCGCAAGACAGCGTGAATTACTCGACGATCTGCAGAATCGTGTGCGTGAGTTTGAACGTCGCGATGGCCAGGCTACGCTAGAGATGCAGCGTGTTGCGAGGGCTGTCGCTGGGGAGAACGCTGCGCTGAGAGGTTTGCTTGCTGCGAAGGGCGTGTCGGCTGAGGAGGTTGAGGCTCATGTTGAGGCTGTGAGGCATGAGGAGAAGATGGTCGCTAGAGCGGGCATGGCGACTGTTACGCCCGTTTCGACGCCGTCTTCCAATCCTTCACCTGTTGTCATTGCCTCGAGACCTGTGCCATGCTCACAGCCTCAAGGATGTGGTCCGATGAGGGAGAATAGCAACCCTCCGTTTGCGATTCAGCCCAAGATGTACTCACCGCCAACACCTGCTACGACTGCTACGTCTTGCACAGAAGAATCAGGCTGCTGCCCGAGACCACAGCCCGTGTCGCAGCCACAACAACAGCACGTACCCCAACAACCAAAATCTCTTGACAAGATTCACTGCATGGAAGCTGCTACTATCCTCGCTCAGATCCGAGGTCAATCAGACATATCTCAAGCTCGATCTGCTCTTGGATGCGCCGAAGGCGAGACCTGCATGGTCCGCAACACGGATTTGCTCAATTTGATGGACGAGATGACCTGATACTATTTGTCGCTACATACTTCAAAACTCAGTTCTTCCAGTTCCATCTATCAGAAACCCACCGAAGGAGATACACCAAACCCAAAAGCACCGGAACCTCGATCAACGGGCCAACCGTCGCCGCAAGCGCTTGGTCACTGCTGGGTCCGAACGTGGTAATAGCCACAGCTATCGCAAGCTCGAAATTGTTACTTGCCGCAGTGAAACTCTGTGTTGTCGAAAGTGGGTATCCGAAGCCAGCATTTCGAGATACCAGAAGTGTTGCGAAGAAGATTATGACGAAGTAGACGATGAGGGGGGCTGCGACGCGTACTACAGACACGATCTGATGCACGACCTGATGGCCTTGGGAAGCGAAGAGGACGAGGATAGTGTAAAGAAGGCCGATGAGAGACCAGGGGGAGATGATGCGCAAAAAGACACGCTCATACCACTCTGGTCCGACCATCTTACGCAGGGTGAAGCGAGTGATGATAGCTGCGCCGAGAGGGATGCCGAGAAAGACTGCTACGCTAGTTGCAACGGTTGAGTATGACACTTCAAGAGAGCCCTCCTCTCCGCTGATCACCGAGATAAAGAACACAGACATTGGCGCGTATAGAGCCATCTGCAGTATCGAGTTGATGGCCACAAGGATAGCGCAGTATTCGGCATCACCGCCCGCAAGACCGTTCCATATCAACACCATGGCGATGCAGCGTGCGAGGCCTACGAGGATGAGACCAATACGAAGTTCGGGCTTGTCTGGGAGGAAGGCCCATGCCAGGCCGAGCTATCATCGTCAGAATATTGTATGTTTGAGGGGATGGGGCTATAGGTTACCATCAGAAAGGGTGCAACTATCCAGTTGATGAATACGCTGAAAAGGATTTGCTTCCAGACATCGCGCTGGGAGAAGATCTCGTGGAGGCTTTCGTATCGGACTTTGCAGAGGATGGGATACATCATGACGAGCAGACCGACAGCTAGTACATCTGATCAGTATACTCATACCGCCGGATAAGTTGTTTACATACCTATGGGAATAGAGACGCCTACAAACTTGCCCTTCTCAAGAGCCGGCCCCGTTGAAGGAACAAAGTTGCCCAAGATGATACCGACAACCATGGCGAGGAAGATCCATACTGCTAGAAAACGGTCGAGCCAACCAAGGGACTTGAAAGCCGATACGTTTTCCTTCTCTTTGGGTTCTTCGGATGGTTGTATATTGCGCTCGGCATCGTGAGTAGAGGGTTGCTCTTTCGTACGAGGATCTGGTCCCGACATATTGTCTTCAAACTTGGTCAATACCAGTATGATGTTGTAAGGTTTTAAGCTTAATTTTGCATTCGAACAAGGGATGATGTTATAGATTAATTAGTGATTCACTGGGACAGCAATGTCGCATTTCTGATTCAACCTTTTTGAACATTTCACACTCGGCATGGTGCAATGGACCAATCACAGATGGGGCATGACACAGTCCCTCCGGAGACGGCGCCGGAGGCACGGAGCATGTTCTCGGCGTAGCCACAACGGGATTATCTTATCTGCCGGATCTTTATAGCTGCGATAAGATTCAAATGCCGTGGTGAGCTTACTTTGTACAGCTTGGTCAAAGGAAGACGATTGCTCAAGTGCATACTCTCATTCTCAGCAAATTTGGTGATGGTCTTCTGGGTGGTTGGTTAGCGATATCGGTAAATTGACCAGCCTTTTGTCTGTCAAGTTGTGTTGGACAGAGTCGTGCGTTGATCTTGAGTCGGTCTTGTGTGACTACACGCGGGAACAATCACGAGCAACGGCGTCATACAACGGGCCTACCGTCTGCCCGTGATACAAAACGTGGTGTATGTACCCGTTGCATCCTCAACGCCGCCATACAACGATAAAAATCAGTGATAACAATGAGGCGCCAATTCAACAGCATGTGCAAGAGAGTAAAGCTCCACATCATGATGAAAATCAATCACCTCATGTACGCCCCATCTTCAAAAATTGAAAAAAAAAAAAAAAAAAACAAGAATATTTTCTCTATTTTATTTTAGAAACGTCTTCCGCCTTGCATATGCATGCATGCACAAGGTGTCGTGGGCCCAATTGGCTACGTGTATCCAAGCAAAGACTAGTGCCGTTTCTTTTTATGTACCGCAAATACGAGGTTCAGCTTGGTACGACACGGGAAGTGCTGCATAAGTCTTGCATAGCGGGATGATTTCACCAAGGAATCATCGCGGGTCAGGCAGTGGGAACAAGTCATGGCAAGGTAGCATTTGTTTCTCCTGACGATCGTGGGGCAGATTGAGATGTGCAAGGAGGATCAAGAGGATCGGATGACGATGTTTGATTGAGTTTCAAGTGATAGAACTTACGTGGTAGTATTCGCTTTGGGTATCCGTACAACGGCCAGAGTTAAAAGGTTGGTGGTTGAGTTGTTATTTCGATATAGACACCCAACCGCAAACTTGCATACAACTAGACCATTTTCAACCATGAATTTGTCTTGTTTTGTCTCGACTGCATGTACGCGCAACCGTCTCATGCGGCTCTATCATAGATGACTCTATGTTTAGCGACATGGGACCCAGTTTCATCATCCGTGCAGTGCCTGTCGATCTCATGTCGACAACCCAACCCAACCTCCGCCAGCCGATTCCTCAGCTGTGCAGTGATACCGACTCTTCATTTACTGCAACTAACCATTTAGTCCATTGGTAGAGAATACCCAAGACAACTGTCTCAAATATATCCTCTGCTCTCATTCGTAGGATTGCTTCTCATGGCCTGAAATCTCGTAAAGTCCACTATCCCGCAGAAACCCACTTCTTCCCTTTTATTTTCCCCATCATGGATCAACCCACAGCTTGTGTCAATAATGGGGCTATGATGATCGTATATAGGATCCCCAGCCAACCTATTTCCAAGGCGGAAATGTTGGGATCAGGTTTATCTCGTTTAAATCCTCCCTTTCTACTTTTCCTTTCCCTTTTCTTTCTCGTATCTTGGTGACTTCTTCGTGATTGCGGAGAACGTGATTTGGTGTATTTCTTTTCATCATGGTGCGATTAAGTATAGTCGCTGCGCTATACGCTGCGGTGGTCAGCGCCGTGGACTTTGATAAGATCGCTGTTGGCAAGGGTCATAGTCGGTTACCGGGAGCTTATATCTTTGAGTTTGAAGAGAATCATGTGCGTATACTCTCATCTCCTAAATCCCTTTCCATAACTAACAGAGCTTAGGACTGTGCCGACTTCTTCGCCAAGGCTTCGGCACGAGGCAAGACTCGTATGCAGTACAACTACAAGCTATTCAAAGGAGCCTCGATCCAATTCACCGACATCGACAATGCTGAAGACCTAGCTTCTGAGATGGCACTATTGCCGGGCATCAAGCAAAAATGGCCTGTCCAGACATTCAGCATCCCCAAGCCTGAAGTTCACTGGACGGGTACACCGGGAATGGAGTACAAGTCTATTCAAAAACGAGGCTTTGAAGAGAGAGCTTCTGTGAACGATACGTTCTCGCCGCATGTCATGACGCAGATTGACAAGTTGAGGGCAGAGGGTGTCACGGGCAAGGGCCTCAAGGTTGCCCTCGTCGACAGTGGTGTAAGTCATCTTCACACTCCCTCTAATACCCAGAACTAACATCTATACAGGTTGACTACAAACATCCAGCCCTTGGAGGCTGCTTCGGCAAAGACTGTCTCGTCTCCTTCGGCACTGATCTCGTAGGCGACGCATACGACGGCCTCAACCACGCCAAGCCCGACGACGACCCCATGGACTGCGCTGGTCATGGCACTCACGTCGCAGGTATTCTCGCCGCCCAAAAGAACACAATGGGCTTTACCGGCGCCGCGCCTGGTGTGCAAATAGGAGCGTACCGCGCTTTTGGCTGTAATGGTGAAGCTGGAAATGACGTCCTTATCGCAGCGTTCAACCAGGCGTTCGAAGACGGTGCAGATATTATCTCAGCTTCCATCGGTGGTCCGTCGGGCTGGTCTGAAGAACCGTGGGCGGTGGCTGTTTCGAGAATCGTCGAGCAGGGCGTTCCTTGTGTTCTTGCGGCGGGCAATGCAGGGGCCATGGGAATGTTCTATGCGAGTACGGCTGCGAATGGGAAGAAGGTCACTGCTGTTGGGTCGTTTGACAACACCAAGTCTCTCGCGCTCCTGAATGCGTCGAAATACAGTATCGGTGGAGGTCCTGAGCATGAATTTGGACACTTGAGCGGTAAGCCGAGTGCCTGGAAGGGCGTGAAACTACCGCTCTGGGCACTCAACTACGACACTTCAGTCGCTGATGATGGTTGTGATGAGTGGCCTAAGAACACACCTGATCTCAGCAAGTACATTGTTCTTCTCCGACGAGGTTCGTGTACCTTCGATGCGAAAGCTGCCAATGCAGTGAAGGCTGGTGCAAAGTACATCATGTTCTACAGCAACAAAGAGGATCTCGCTCCTTTCGACGTCTCTTCCGTCGCGGGTATCAGAGCAGCAAGTATCGTGTCTCCTGAACAGGGCGCAGACTGGATCGCTTCCCTGAAAGCAAAGAAGAAGATCACTCTGAGCATGTCGGACGGAAGTGACGGCAACGTTATTCTCGAACAGAAGCACAACAACGTCACAGCCGGTGCAGCGAGTACCTTTTCTTCTTGGGGCCCAACCTGGGAAATGGATGTCAAGCCTCAATTCGGAGCCCCAGGCGGTAAAATCCTCTCAACATACCCCCGAAGCATGGGAAGCTATGCCGTGTTATCGGGTACTTCCATGGCTTCACCCCTCGTCGCTGGCATCGTCGCTCTCATCGCAGAAGCCAGAGGCACACGCGATCCAGCTCTCATCGAGAACCTCCTCTCAGCGAGTGCAAACCCGCAATTATTCAACGACGGAAAGATATTTTATGACTTCCTCGCGCCTGTTCCGCAGCAGGGCGGCGGTATCGTGCAGGCTCATGATGCCGCCCACGCAAAAGTTCTCTTATCACGATCGAGTCTTTCGTTCAACGACACGGATCATTTCGCTGAGTCGTTGAACTTTACTATTAAGAATACGGGCAAGAAACAGATTGATTTGCAGATTTCTCACGTCCCGGCCGTCACGATGTTTACGCTTGTTGAGAATTACATTTATCCGGATGAATTCCCTAACGACTTCGCCAAAGAGCATGCTAGTCTCAAGTTCAGCGAGTCAAAGCTTACTATCGATGCCGGTGAAAGCATTGTCATTGAGGTTCTGGCTACGCCTCCCAAAGGTCTGAATGCAACACGGTTGCCTGTTTGGTCGGGTTATGTAACCATCAACGGCACCGACGGGACATCTCTTTCTCTTCCGTACCAAGGCTTGACAGGATCTCTTCACGACTCAATGGTTCTCGGACCTAAGGATACATGGATCGCAAACTCAACCGACGAGAACCGCTTCCCTGTGCCAGACAACACAACATGGACACTCCCCAAGCCTGGCACAGCAAATAACCTCACCGATACACTGCCCGGTCTCACATGGTTCCTCGCTCTAGGCTCAGCAAAACTTCACGCCGAAATCATGCCGGTAACAACCGAGAAACCAACCTCTTCCAAAAAGCCGCGCGTTATTGGCGAACCAGTTGACTTTCCCCTGCTGTGGAACGCAATGGGTACTAACTCGCAAGCCTTCACTGGTGAACTTGCAGATGGCACTTTTGCCCCAGCGGGGCAGTATGTTGTGAGATATAGAGCGTTGAGAATCTTTGGTGATGAGAAGAAGAAGGAGGATTGGGACGAGGCGTATTCGCCTGTGTTTACGATTCGGTACGAAAAGTAAGAGTTGTTTCTATGCTTGCAAACGCATTATGAGCATATTTGTTTTGGTTTCGTGTACAAAAGCATCAGAGATGTAATAGGGTTCGGAAATGGTCATGGTTAAATGGGTATTGATTAATTATCTGGATAATTAAGGATAGAATAGAACATAGATCTAGCTGCACACAGACAGCGCAAAGAATGAAATCAGTTCACAATCTGAAATCCCCATACTAGTGACTAGGCTTAAGCGTTATTCATTCCATGTAATATCATATAAAGTTTCATCATTAATGCGTCGTTTGAAGAGTTATCGTGCAGCGTCACAAGTGGGAGACTCATCCATGGAAATGAATGTTCACCATCGACACGTTAAAACATATCTGCCTGCACCAACGAGTCTACTCTACAGAAAAAGATACCTGAGGTATATTCACGGCAAAATAATAAAGAAGTTCGAAAGCTTTGAAATGTGTTGACTAGATGTGTATAACGTCGGGCTGTTAGCTGAGAGTGCGAGGGAATAGCCTTGGGCCGTCAACTCTGAAACCACTACACCAGGCACCATCACGGCCAACGACAAAATCAGTAACCTCCGACGATGAGAAAATAAGCCTGGATGTATTGCTGGAGCCTGAAATCAGATCCCCAGACTCTCTTATGCATTGATGGGTGCTGAGGAAGAGACGATGTACACAGCCCGGCAATACCCACATGAGGATGTCACCAGGCGTCTGCGTGGATGCGGTATTTTGTAAGCTGCCATCGTCTTGATCCATGAGATGATGGGGTGTGTATCTTCATGAAATCAACGGCAGACACTTGGGCATCGGTAAGTGGGAGATTGGCAACTGTATGCGAGTTACTGAGGAGGGTCACTGACGCAAGTGAGAGGCGGAGTTACTGCTTCGACCAAAGAATAATCGTGGTCTAGAACGATGTAGAGAAAATGATTGTATCTATGTGATCATCTTTGGGGATATCCTCAGGGTTGTCGAGTGTTGGCACCAATGGCACCTTCACCAAAGCAAATGTCTAGTGTAAGTCGGCAGTTTGTGAAGTGAGCTAGCCTTCATGAACCTTGGTGGCATTCGCATTTGTGTGCGTAATGATGGCTGTCTCGAAGATTGAAGCCTACGTTTGCGTAGTACGTAGGTCTACAGAAGTTTTCTCCTCACTTGTACAAGGCTCGAAGGTCACTTTGTGATGGTACAGTATTGTGGGTCAAGATAGGAGATTCTTTGTGAACCTCTGGAGGAGTGGCCGCTATCTCATTTACAGACCTTAGCTAAAGTATATAACACAAATTGATAAGAATTAATTATCTGTGTCATGCAAGATGCCGCATGTATAAGACATCAATGCATGCCCAACCAACACGATACTACGAGGTAAGTCTGGGCATGTCAAACAAGACTGGCCATCAACTTATCATTCTGAGGGGCTCTAGACCTCATGTCATGGCGTAAGCCACGTGGTGAGATGGAAACGTCAAAGACTGGATCGGGTAGATAAAGATGGTGATACTCGTAGATTAGTATGTGAGTGAGTAACAAGGGTTGATAGGCAGCCGCATTCTTTCAATGGAGATCACATGATTAAATACCATCTCGGCGCGGATTATCCAAGTCCGATAGACGACTGGCCAATAGGGTAGCTGCTGATCCTTCAGGCAGCAGCATTTCCCATTCTGAGACCCTTGGAAAATGACCGCAAATAGGCCGCGCCGCAAGATCCGCTTTGTGTAGGCAACGAAATAAACAGCTTCTTCTCAACAAAATGAAATGATTTGGTCTGGCCTGCAGTTTCTTACAAGACATTGGTTTCTCTTGTCACCCACTGAGCACATGTGACTTTTGCTTGGTCCCTTTTTACCTTACTTATTTACTGGCCAAGACCGCCAATGGCTGAGCCTCACTAATTACACCACCTCCAAGACCTGTACCAAGAGCCCCGCTTCAGATCGCCATCAAGCATCACGATCAAGACATCACTCTCAGACTTGGCGACTATTATCATCATAAACAGGCTTTACTTCCTATTGTAGGACTCGACTTCAACATACTCACTGCAGTTCACTATCATGGAGTCTTTTCTACCCCTGGGTGGCTTCCAGCTGCCCTTTCAGAAACGCCTCAGCAGACTGTACAACGACACTAAGAAGTCAACCGACTTTGTCAAAGAACCCATTCAAAATGAGGAAGATCCAGAAATCAAGGCTCTACATCGAAAACTCCGCATTCAAAAGGATCGTCTAGTGAGTTGGGGTCTCGAATGGTCTGATCCTACTCAGTCTGTTGAGATCGATGAGTCTCTATCAAAAGCCGGTTTGAGTGAGGTTGTTGGAAGTATCATGTCCACCATCAAGGACATCCTAGCAGAAGCCGAACCTCTTTGGCTAAGTTCAAAGCGCATGATTTCAGCACCTGCTACGTCAAAAGATACAAAGCCGCCGCTGGTTCAATGGGATAAGAACCATTTTGAGGACTTGGTTAATGACCTCACTGCTTCGATTGACACACTCTACGATCTGTCGCGGACACGGGCAGCAGCTGGTGGAGTTCTAAGACGATCATCGAAAACGCCGTTCAAGTCCATGTCATCTACCGAAGAGTACCGGCCATTCGAGTCCAGTCGCATGCAAACGCCTCAGCAAATTAACCCCCAGACTCTAACTCATCTGCGCCCCAAGCAAGGTGATGAGGCTTCTACTCCCCGAGAAGTGGTTTTTATGAGCAAGACTGCTTATTCAGAACTCACACATGGAACGACCCGCCAGCCGTGGGCTCCTCTGCTTCTGGAATATGCAACCTTTGACTCAATTTATGCCGTAACGGGCATCATGCCTCCCATGGCTCGCTTCGAGAAGCTCTCCGCCGGTCTGCAGCAGGATTCTCAGCGATCGCCTGGTACATGGACTGGACTGCCTCGACTTCTTGGCTATTTCGAAGACCTGGAGAACTCAAGACTCGGCCTTGTCTACCGATTCCCTCCCTCATTCAATGCCGTATCATTCGAGCGTCTCACCAAGAACCCCTCATATAACCTCCCGACCTTGAACGATCTTCTCTCAGTTCCCGGATCAGAGCCTAAGCTTGAAGCTAAGTTCAGACTTGCTCACAATCTGATGAACACTGTTTTCGACCTGCATGCTCGCGGCATCACTCACGGAAACATTGCTCCATCCACTGTCTCGTTCTGCGATGCAGTTACCTCGCAGCCGGGTGCGACTAACGGCGAAGTGGATATTCGACGTCCTCTCCTTTCTTCTTTCGATCTCTTTCCTGAAGATACCCCCTCAACATCACCGATTCTGTCCCGCCATCCGCTTGACCCACGCAATCTCCAATCTTCACATCTTGTCAGCAATCCTGACCAGAGAGTTCTTGATCTGTATTCCTTAGCCACTTTGTTACTCTCAGTTGGCTTGTGGAAGACACTTGAGGATATTGTGCCTCAGGGATCCACTTCTATTCCTGACTCTGCCCTGGAAGAGCTTGCTGTTCGATGCGGCAGCTTGTACATGAAGGCTGTTCAGGTTTGTTGGACAGCTGTCGATGACGAGCTTGCTGGGCGATCTTCTGGAGAATCGTTACTCTCGTCAGTTCAAGTACGATGCAGTCGCTTCTTGGAAGCCTGTTGTATCTTAGACGGTGTTAGTGGCTTGGAGGAGAGGCTCGATCAGGAGCTCAACCCAGCCGAGACACCAGCGCCTGCCGTCGATACAGCCCCAATGAAGACGAACAAGGACGTAAAGGATGTAAAAGACTTCAAGTCGTCACTAAAAGCTGCAAGCGAGAAGCCAATGGCAGCATCAGCGCCTAACTTGGGAACAGAAAAGAGTGCTCCCAAGTTTGAGGCAGTCGCTGATCAGGATGGTATGCTGCATTGTTCTCATTCATATACTTACATAATGCTAACTAATTCCCAGATGCTCTTGACAAGCAGTCAGAAACAAAGATGCGTTTATATCCCCATGTGCCGCTGGCGCCAGAAGTCGTGGAGAAGTGGAACAAGATCCTTATGCCCCAGATCAACCACGCTCTTCGTCACTTCTACCGCAAGCACCCCGAATCGGTCGAGATCTCTCTTGAGTCGGTAGGCCCAAGCCCTCAGAAGACTCAACCCACAGTACTTGTTGTGTGTACATCTGTTGGAAAGGTCAGGGCTATTCTTAAGAAGAGGCTTGGTGACCTTTTCGATGGGGGCAACGGCTTCGGACTCAAGGTTTGCCGTGGACATGTTCTACGATCTCGCCGACAGCCAAATTCGGTCCTTAGATCCATGGCCCGAAGAAGCGGCAAGGGATCCGGATTAGAATCTGACGACGTTGAGGCCATCAACCCAGAGTATCAAGAGCGCCCAGGCAATGGCGCCAGTATTGGGGCATGGATTGGTGATCGACATCTGCCCCCCGTTAGCCTGGGAGGCCTCGTCATGCTTGACGACAAGCCTTACGGAATGACAGTCCACCACATGCTCGATGATCCAGACCGGGACTTTGGGCCTAGTGACACTCTTCGGTGCAGCGCCCTGCCTGATATGGACTGGTACGCGCAATCTGGTGACGACAGCACTGTCGATGATGAGTTTGGCTATGAGCTGTCCGATACTGAATCGGAAGCCTACTCGGATTCTGATATCACCAGTGACTATGAGGACGACGAAGACGATGAGGAAGATGAGGAGTATAACGAACCTGGAGATATCCCTGGCATTGAGCCAGGATGTGGTGATGGTTACATCGTCACACAGCCGGCTCTCGATGATGTCGAAGAAGGATTCTATCCTGACCCAGAGACTCAAGACGAGGACCACCTCGACACATATAGTGTCGGGGAGGTGTATGCTTCAAGTGGTATCCGCAGGAAGCAGGCCCTTGGGCTCGTGCATGAGGTTGACTGGGCTCTCTTCGAATTCGCTCACGATAGACTGCCTGATGACAACACTATTCCTCGCATCGATGGCAAGTCCCTCGCACAAAGGCCTGAGGGAAAGCAGACAGCTGGATCACCCATGCTG